GGGGGGTGGATCTAGGTGTGTTCCCCAGAACTTGCCCACATGTTCTTTATGCCCGCCCCCCTTCCCCTACCACGCAGGAACCTGTGGAAGCCTTGGGATGAGGACACCTGGAGGTGGTGACACCTACAGCCCTCCCCTGGAGTCTGCGCTCCGGGAACCCTCTGGAGCCGGTCACCTCCCAGCCCCGGGTAGGGTGAGTCCTGGCCACCGCCTCCAAACAAGCCGAGGGGAGGGGAGAACTGAGCGGGGCGGGGCAGGGCTGGTCCTCTCCCGTCGGGGCGGGACCAACATCTGATCGGCGGGGCAAAACCAGGCGGCGGCTAGGCCAGGCTGCGGGCCGAAGACTCCAGACACACCAGCGCCCCGCGACCCCCTGCACCCACGGGCACCATGAGCGGCCGAGTCGGGGACCTGAGCCCCCAGCAGCAGGAGGCGCTGGCCAGGGTGAGGGGCTTCGAGGGCGGGAAGGCTTCGGGAGGGGGCGAGCTGCCTGATGCTGCCCACCAGGTCTGGAACCCCCATTGTTCCAGAAAAGGGACCCAAGAGAGCGCCCGCCCCCTTCGGGACGCAGTTGCTGAGGCGGCCTTATGCGGGACAGCACACTTGAGCCCTTCCCTGGGCTACCCGCGCGGGGGGTATCCGGCTTTGCACTCCTGCCCTCTCCGGACCCCCGGGCTTTGGCCCTTGTCCCCTGGTTGTGGGGGTAGGGTGGTGCTGCCATTCCTCTGGGCAGTCTGGGGCAGACAGACTAGCAGATCTCCTGCCGGAATCGCAACATTTGTTTGGTTTCTTTTTGTGCCTTTCTGGCTCCCCGGGGGTCCAAGGCTTCTTCCTATTGTCAATGTTTTCATTAAACAGGAATGGGCCAGCTTTGGTGACAGTCCTGCAGGCTGCAGCTGAGAGTGTCACCCCATGGGGAAAGAGGAGCATATTCAGGTCTTAGGTGCCACAGCATTAATTTGGTTTGCAGATGGCAAGGCCTAGAAACTGTGACTTCGGGTTAGGGGAGTGAGGGTTACAGGCCTGGTTCACACTTTGGACAGCTTCAGACTTGTGGAAAATAGTTTCTTTTGTGACTCCCACCCTGGGAAGGGTCCGCCAGGGAAGAATGAGGATCCCTGATGAAGGAGGGGAATCCTGGGTGAATTCCTAGCAAAGTAAAGAAGGGTCCCAGGTGAAGAGTGGGGTCCCTGAGGGAATTGCCAGGTCAAGGAGGAGGTGCCAGGAGCTGAGGGTCCTTAGCTGAAGGAGGTGTCCCCAGGTGAAGGAGGAGGGGGAGTCCCCTGGTTAGCCCTCTCCCTCCCCACTGGCAATGACCTCAAGGAAGCCCCAGCCACTAGGCTCATGGGAAGGGCTGGACACCTGGACTTGGGGGTGAATTATGATGGTGATGCTTGTGGGTCAAAGAGCTTTAAGTAATGTAAAACGAGTTTATTCTTATTTTTTCCATTACTTAAAAAAAATGAATGGTAGTTGTTTTACAATTTAGGGAAAAGGGAAAAGTAGGAAAAAGAAGAAGTCACCCATGGTCCCAGAGGTCTAGACAACCATGCCTAGGAGCGTTTCCTTCCAGCTTTTTCTGAAGCCTGGTTTTTACCACCTTTGGTCGCACTGCCAGAGGCTACTTTCTCCCTATGGCATCTTTGTTAAGATAGTGTTTTCTTCAAGTTACTCGAGACCCTCTCCAGCACCTGCTTAGTGGCTTTCTCTCTTACTTGATGTGCTTTCCAAAGATGGAGTGGCGTTGGGATTGGAAACTGTGGAGTCCTCCTAGCCTTATAGCTCCCCCACTCTGTCCCTGGGGAAGACCCTCCACCGCCAGCCTCAGTGTCCTCATCCACAAAGCAGGGATGTGACATTTGCTCCTCCTGCCCTAGGGCACATCCTGAGGTTCAAAGGGGGGACTCTGGTAATCTGGAAGGGCGGAGGGGTGCAGAGTTACTGTTTCTCGGTTATTGTTACTGCCTTTGCTCCCACTAAAAAACCTCCTCGAAGCCCAGAGGTTGCAGTTGATCAATGTGCAAGAACCTCCATTCCAGGAGCCTGGAGGTGGACTGGGGGTGATGATAGCACGTGCTGTCATTCATGTGACTTGTTAACACTGGAGATGTTTAATCCTATTATTCGCTTTTAATTATGTGAGCAATACATGAATACATTCTTATTTGAAACATCATCCATGAAGCTAAAGGAGGTTTGGTGGATGGCTGTCCAGCTAGCTTCCTGTGGCGTTGCTAGCATTGGCTTCTAATCCCAAATTCCCATGCATGGGTCCCCCTGCAAACCCGCTCCTCCAGGACTTGCCTTCAGCTCCCTTAGTCCCCATGGAAGTGAGGTCTCTTCTCCGTCCCAGACCTGAGCCTCAGTCCCGTGCCCAAACTTTCAGTGGCTTCCCCAAACTTTGTCGGTAGGAAGAAGCTCTGGCAGCAGGTCAGCCCCCCTCTTTCTCCAGCCTCCATGGCGCCTGATGAGGCATCCCTGGCTTCTATTTCAGTTCCTCCCTGCTGACCTTTGCCTGGGGTTGTTTCCACAAAGACTCCACTGTCCAGAGCTCCGGGCAGCCCAAGTTTGCTGAGTGCCCACATTTTTTTGGCACCTGTTGCAAGCCAGGACTGACACTAAGTGCTTTACCTGTGCACACTCCTTTGATTAGCACAAGTTTATCTTTATCTCCACTTCACAGATGAGGAAATTGAGGCTCGGAGTGGTTAAGTAACTTGCTTCCAAATTTAGACCCTCGAGATACGGTATATCGAGGGCAAGGTTCCTACAATGTTCTGGTTTGCTCACATCAGCTTCTCCAGGGATCTTTCTGAAAATAGGGATGGCAGGGCTCTACCTCAGACCTCTAGAATGAGGATCTTGGGGAGGTGTAGAACCTTCAAAGTTTGAGAAGGACCCAACTCTTCCTGCCATGGTGGGCTGAGGGGTGCCCCATTCTCAGGTGGCAAAAAGGTCCAGGCAGCTGCTGCTAGCTGTGCAGGGTCCCCCACCCTGCAGGGTCCCTGGACAGGACTGACTGGCAGACTGAGTTTGGGAAGGGTCAGGGATGGGGTAGGGAGCACAGGGGTCATGGGAGCCCCTTTGACCATTGTATCTCCCCCTCAGTTCCAGGACAACCTCCAGGACCTGCTGCCCACCCTGCCCAATGCTGACGAATACTTCCTCCTGCGCTGGCTCCGAGGTGAGGCTGGCGGCGTCAGGGGGCAGAAGGGTTTCAGGAAAGTGGGTGGGGCTTTGGGAGACAGTGGAGAATGTAGGCCCTGGAATCAGCCTGCTTTGGACTGGAGTCTGAGCTCCCCTCCAAATCAGCATGGCATAAAAAACCCATTGAGCCTCAGTTTCTTCATCTGTAAAGTGGGGATGGGGCTACCTCCCCGAGCGTTGTTGTCAGTGTCAAATGCCAGGCACTGGGTGGGCATATGGTCCAGGTGAGGTTAGAGTTCACACCTGGGAAGTTCTCAGGATGACTGGCCTGGCCAGGCCTTTGAGTCTGATAACCCTGAATATACTCTGCACGACTTGCCTTTGGGTCTGTCTCCAGTTCCTTGAAGACAGGGCTGTGTCATCCCCCTGGGAAACCTGGAAACTGAGCAGGTGCCCGGCAAACACTTCAGGAAGTCGATGCAGTTAAAGGTAGAGAAGCAGTTTCTTCTAGGAATTGCCACAGTGGTGTAAAATTAGAATAACAGAAACCTTAGGGAAAAATTCGTTTCAACTCAACACACCCCATGGGATGGATTTTGAACTTGAAATGGGAGAGAAGTCAGAAGCGGGGCTGGAAAGTGCACACACAGTGTGGTGATAATAACCAGCCTTGGACTCAGGCACACATGCTATTGAATCCCAGCTCTGCCCCGTGCTAGCAGTGTGCCTATGGCAATTACCCACTGTGTCTCAGTCTTACTTTTCTCTTCTGGGTAATGGGTGTAAAACTGCTTCCCACCTTTAAGACGCCGTGAATCAGATATGAGGTCAGGGGCGTGCACAGCGCCTGCACAGAGGAAACCCTCCCTCCCTCCTGTTCTGTTCTGTTTGGTTACTTTTTAAAATTACCATTTTCTACAAACTTTATTTTTTAGGTTGGTTTGGATTTACAGAAGTGTTGCGAAGATAGTACAGGAAGCCCCCATATACGCTGCACCCAGTTTCCCCATCAACATTTTTCATTCCTATTTCATTCATTTTTCATTTGTTACAATTAATGAGCCAATATTTTTTTTAATGTTTTTATTTTATTTTTGAGAAAGAGACAGAGTGTGAGCAGGGGAGGGGCAGAGAGAGAGGGAGACACAGAATCTGAAGCAGGCTCCAGGCTCTGAGCTGTCAGCCCAGAGCCTGACACGGGGCTTGAACCCATGGGCTGTGAGATCGTGACCTGAGCTGACATCGGACACTTAACTGACTGAGCCACCCAGGTGCCCCTTAATGAACCAATATTGATACGTGACTATTAACTAAAATCTCTACTTTACTTAGATTTCCTGAGTTTTTCTGTTCCAGGATCCCATCTAGGATGCCACATTAAACTTGTTAGGCGCTCTCGGCTGTGGCAATTTCTATTCTGTTTTTGACAAGTTATGTCCATGTCATTCTCTTCGGCTAAAGAAGGAGTGAGGACAGTAGATTCCTTTTTTTTAAATTAAAAAAAAAAAACTCATTGAGAATCTCTGGGATGGTAGTTATCGCCTCCTGACCTACAGGGAGGAACCAACACTATAGGAAATCGCTCAGAAATCACACAATCCCAACATCTCTAGCTAACACAGGAAGGACCAAAATCATTTCTCTGAAAATTGGTCAGGCTTTGTTCATCCAAGAAGGGTTGGGAGGACAGATGCAAAAGGGACCATCACATGATACTGGGGGTGAGATGGGGGTATGTTGGACCCCAAGCTAGCTTCTCAAAAACCAGGGGAGAAATAGATCCACTTCTTCTCTGGGGGTGGAGTTCCTGGTCACCAAGGGAGTTTCTTACCCTTGATGAGGCTGTCGCTGCCTCAGGGAAAACTTTCATTCTGTAGGTTCAAGACAAGGTTGTCAGCAGTGAGATAGATTATGGTTCTGTGATGTGGCAATCGTCTTGGAGATGTTCTGGGCTGCCTGGATCTTGTGAAGTTTGACATAGCAGGGTTCTTGCTCAGGGCTTCTCCAAGGTGAGCAGGGTGGGGTTAAGGGTTCACACAAGGCCCGGTCTCAACGCCTGACCCCATCCTTACTCCTCTAGCCCTTCTCTGGGCTGTCAGATCCAAGTGGTGCTCAGATGGCTCGTGCCTAGTCCCACCTTGGCCCCCAGACAGTAGATTTCTTGAAGCCCCTTGATACAGCATCAGACCTCTCTCCTCCTTTGGAGTCTTTCTGGGGTTAAAAACCAACTTTTCAGGTAGCTGGTGTGTCCTTGAGAAAGGAGTGAAGTCACAGATCCTGTAGGCTGCTGGGTCACGGGAAAGGAAAACGACCTAAGGAAAAGCACACCTAAGGACACCAGGTGTCCTGATGCCTCCCATTGTCTGTTGTGGCAGACCTGCTGATGTGGCCCTGTCCCCTTCAACTTCACCTCTGTAGCCACTTCCTGCCTCACTAGCTCAAGACCCAGGCAACAGGGAGAGTGATCACTGGGGCTGAACTTGGAACCTTCCCCCTCAGTCCAGACACAGAGAACCCCCTCTCTGAAGTCGCTTCCCTTTGTTTTCTTTATCTCCATTCCATGACTGTGTCCATCTCTCCCACTCAGATGCCAGCCCCATGAGGGCAGGGACTGTGCCTGCCACATACCTCCAGCCTGACACATAGTAGGTGCTACTAAAAAAGTTGTGAGGGTCCATCAACAGCACCCAAACCACTTTCTATAGAACAAGAAAACACCCTGGTTCTCAGTAAAAAAAATCTATAGACACCACAGAGATTTTTTAAAAAGCTAATAAATATTAAAGGGGCACCTGGGTGGCTCAGTTGGTTAAATGTCCGACTTTGGCTCAGGTCATGATCTCGCAGTTCGTGAGTTCGAGCCCTGCATTGGACTCTGTGCTGACAGCTCAGAGCCTGGAGCCTGCTTCGGATTCTGTGTCTCCCTCTCTCTCTGCCCCTCCCCCACTCATGCTCGCTCGCTCTCTCTCTCTCTCTCTCTCTCTCTGAAAAATAAGCGTTAAAAAAAGTTTAAAAATAAAAAAGTAAAAAAAAGTAAAAAGCCAATAAATATTAAAGACACATAAGTGGTACTAAAAAGCTTTCCTCTTTCCAAAACTCAGACCCCAATGGCTTTACAGGTGAATTTTTCCAAAGTTTTAAGACTAGCTAATACCTACTTTTATAAATTGTTTGAGTTGCTTTAAAATATATAAAAAATTGAAAGTTGGGACACATGGGTGGCTCAGTCAGTTAAGCCTCCAACTCTTAATTTTGGCTCAGGTCATGATCTCACAGTTGTGAGATCAAGCCCTGCATGGGGCTCTATGCTGGGTGGTGGAGTCTGCTTAAGATTCTCTCCTTTCTCTCTCTCTCTCTCCTTCTGTTCCTCCCCTGCTCGCATGCACTATCTCTCTCTCTCTCTCTCTCTCTCTCTCTCTCTCTCAAAAAAAAAAAAAAAAAAAAAAAAAGTGAAAGTTACTTTATGAGGCTTGAGTAAGTTTGATTCCAAAATGAGATCAGGACAATAAAAGACAATTCTAGGCTTGTTTCACTTATTAATGTAGATGTAAGGAAATCTAAGTAAAACATTACATAATAGAATCCGATAGGGTATTAAAATTACACAGCATGGTGAAGGGGAGTTTATCTTAGGTATGCAGGAAGAATTCAACTTTAGAAAATCTATCAGTGTCATTGCACACATTAATAGAATTAAAAATGAGAATGATGTGGCTATCTTAATGCAGGAAAAACATTTGAAAAGGTTCAAATCCTATTTATAATATAAAAACAAAATAAAAGTCTTACCAAACTAGAAATAGAAGGGAATTTCCTTGGCTTGGCTTGGTAATGCTTATGTAGCAAAACTCTTACAATACATGCTATGCTTAAGTAGAAGGTTTAGATTCGTTTTCTTTAAAATCAGGAACAAGTAGGCACACCTGGGTGGCTCAGTCGGTTTGGCATCCAGCTTCAGCTCAGGTCATGATCTCATGGTTTGTGGGTTTAGGCCTCACACTGGGTTCACTACTATCAGCACGAGTCCACTTCGGATCCTCTGTCCATTCTCTCTTTGCCCCTCCCATTCTCGTGCTCTCTCTCTCAAAAATAAATAAAACATTTAAAAATAGATAGATAGATAAATAAAATCAGGAACAAGGAAAGGATGTCAAACAACATTACAGTTTAAATAGAACTAGACCCTTGCCAATGTTATAAGGAAAGAAAAAAAGTAATCAGTGGTGTAAAGACTAGAAGGGAGGAGTTAAATTTCTTTTCTAAATTTAGAAATTTTGTTTTTAAAATAAAGCACCACATTTTCAATTAAAATGAATTTATTTCTTCAAAAGAAGAAGTCACAACAATAGTTTCTATTTACTAAGAAGTTACTGGGAGCCAGGTAATGTGCCAAGCACTTTACATGTTTTATCTCATGTCATCCTTTGAATACCTGAAAAAGATACTATTCCTGTTTAGCAGATTAAAAAACTAAGAGTCAGAGAAGGTAAGTGAGTTGCTCAATGTTGCACAGCAAATAAAAGGACAAAACTAGAATTCAGACCCAAGTCTGTCTGACTCCAAAGTCCATGCTCCTCACTAGCCTTAACACTGAGGAGGTCTGTGCTCCCATGGGGACGTCAAATATTACAGGTTAGATCAGCCTCTGGAATGAACAGTTTAAAAAGTCCGGGATACTGAAATCAAGGGCCTCCAACATCTTCTACAGGATTAAAGATCCTTGCTTTTATTTATTTATTTAATGTTTTATTTATTTTTGAGAGAGACAGAGACAGAATGTGAATGGGTTATGGGCAGAGAGAGAGGGAGACACAGAAGCAGAAGCAGGCTCCAGGCTCCGAGCTGTCAGCACAGAGCCCGACGTGGGGCTCGAACTCACGAGCTGTGAGATCATGACCTGAGCTGAAGTCGGACGCTCAACGGACTGAGCCACCCAGGCGCCCCAAAGATCCTTGCTTTTAAAAATAATGTCTAGGCGGCTCCTGGATGGCTCAGTCCGTTGAGCGTCCAACTTTGGCTTAAGTCATGATCTCACAGCTCGTGAGTTCAAGCCCCGCATCGGGCTCTGTGCTGACAGCTCGGAGCCTGGAGCCTGCTTCGGATTCTGTGTCTCCCTTCTCTCTGCCCCTAACCCATTCGCATTCTGTTTCTATCTCTCTCAAAAATAAATAAATATTTAAAAAAAATTAAAAATAATGTGTAGACCCCCAGTGTATTCTCGGGATGTCATGAAAGGCTCAGGCACCCCCGCTATTTCCTCATGAGTTTTCAGGAAACTGTGAGTTCTAGTCCGGCCTCAAGCCTCCTCTTACCTTGGCTCTTCTTGCAGCTCAGAACTTTGACCTGCAGAAATCTGAGGACATGCTCCGGAAGGTGAGGCCCCATACTCATGAGTGTCCTGCCTCCCACACACTGTACCCCAGGGATCATCGACAAAGGGTGGGGACTCTTGTCCTGTCCTGTTCTCATGTGTTTCCTCCCTTCCTCCTTGGATCCCTTTATGCATCAGACCTGGGTCTCCCACAGCCCTCCTCCTGGCATTGCCATTCCCGGTTCTGTGAGTAGAGCCTGGGGATGCTCTTGCAGGGTCTTGGCTCAGAGGGACTTGGCCTGATGCCCTCAGGTGCCCTCAAGACCTTTGTAGCAGGCAGTCCTCAGGTCCTGCAATTTCTCTGCAGCACATAGAATTCCGGAAGCAACAGGACCTGGACAACATCCTCACATGGCAGCCCCCAGAGGTGAGCCCCATGCAGCACCCCCAAGACAGGCAGATGTCCCTCAGACCTCCTCACATCCAGCCATCTGATGGAGCAGGGACATGGCCTGGTAGACTGGTTTGAGTTAAGATCTCACCCCCGTGCCCAGGTGATCCAGCTGTACGACTCTGGTGGTCTGAGCGGCTATGACCCTGAAGGCTGCCCCGTGTGGTTCGACATCATTGGGACCCTTGACCCCAAGGGTCTTCTCCTGTCAGCCTCCAAGGAAGAGCTGATCCGGAAGCGCATCAAGATCTGTGAGCTGCTTTTGCGGGAGTGTGAGCTGCAGAGTCAAAAGGTAAGTGACTGGGTCTAGGATGGGAAGCATATGGTGGACCCGATCTGTCTAAAGGGTGGCACCAGGACCAGGTAGGAAGGACACCCTGTCTCTGCTTTTCCCCAGGCCTGAGCACTCTGGGCCTTGGGGGAACGTGGCTTCTCCCAAAGTTACCCATCCATGAGCATCTAACATGTGCGTGGCACTCTCTGCTGGCAGGTGCCAAGGAACACCAAAGCCCTTTCCCCTCTGACCTTGGGTGAGAGGTTGACCTTGGGTGCAGTGAATGCTCTAGCTCTCTTCCCTGGGAACTCTAGAACAGTGGATGGTCAGCTTTGCCTATGGAAAAGATGTTCCCAGTTGTAAACTGCATAACTATAACACCTGACGGGGGAGACATTGCTTTGGGTATCCGCAAGAACAGTGACCCTTGAAACTTGGTGCATCCTTTGTGGATCCCTAGAAGCTAATATGGAATTACTACAGAAAAAAATATTGAGTTCTGTGGGGCATTGGGATTCCAAGCCAAGAAGGACCCACACCCACCTGTGCAGATCTTCTCTTTGCCCTGGCTCTGTGTTTCCCGGTTCATACCCTTCAGAATGAATCCAATGCCAAACATGATCTGTTGGCCTTGAGTCTAAGTGTCTACATGAGCCTAAGAAGAACACTGGCAGGGAGCTGTGATGTCACTGTGGGATGAGTTGCCTAATGACGAGGACCGGGCGTGCATCCCCAGTGTCTGTCATGGTGTCAGACACAAAGTAGGCCCTCTGCACAAAGATGTGTGGCAAGCCTAAGAAAATTGCAAAGCACCCTATTCAGTGCCTAGTTTGAACAGATGTGTGTCTTTCGAACAACGTGGCTGACCTTATGGGGTCACAACAGTATCTTCTACTTCATGGGCGTTTCCAGTTGGAGCTGATAATTGTGGTGATGATGATACTAGTAATAACATCTGCTGATATTTACCAGGGACCAGCGTGTGTCAGGCACGGGGCTCTTTGTGAGTTATCTCACTGAATCTTCACAGAAATTCCGTCAGAACCTGGAACTATCCCCCCTTCACAGAGGAAAAAAACAAGGCTCAGAGCACTTAAAAACCCACCCAAGGCCACACAGTCTGCCAGCAGTGTAGCTCTGGTTTGACACACCATGGGACTGCAGACACTGTGCTATTGTACGTGAAGATGCCCAATGAGCGATGAGTGATATCTTTAATTCTACAGTTAACTAATTCCAGGCAATCGTGTTGAGCAAACAGTGGGATAAAGGAGACTGTGCCAGTGCTCAGATGCAGTATCTTCTTAGATCCTGGGTGGGCTCTGTTTAGAAATCGCTGTGGGCAATTGGGGTTGAGGGTAGCTGGAGGGTGGGAGCAGTGAGTTCCAGGTCTCCCTGACCAGGACCTCCTGGCTGGAGTTATTGTCTGACCTATGTATCTGTGCTGTCCCATGTAGCTGGGCAGGAAGATCGAGATGGTACTGATGGTGTTTGACTTGGAGGGGTTCGGCCTGAAACACCTGTGGAAGCCAGCTGTAGAGATCTACCAGCAGGTAGGTAGGCAGCTGTCTCGAGGCTAACGGGGAGCCACTCTCCACACCAGCTTCCCATCCATGGAGGAGGAATTGGCCCCCCAGAGGCCCCCAGAGCAGCCAGAGAAGCTGGCCTGGGGTTTCCCCCTCCAAGGAGAAAGAGGAGCACGAACATCACAGAGAACGAAGTACATCTCATGGGGGAAGTGGATGGCCGGGGGCGTGGGGGTTGGCATGGGCTCTGGTCTCAGCAGGATTAGAAGCCACCAAGTCCAGGCATAGAGTGTGTTGGAGTGTGACCTTGACGAGACTTTTCTTGCCACAGTTTTTTGCCATCCTGGAAGCAAATTATCCTGGGACGCTGAAGAATTTAATTGTCATTCGAGGTGAGCCCATAATGGGAATGACTCTTTGGGGAAGGGGGAAGGGGAAGAGGGGGGAACAGTGGACAAATCACCCAGTACAGGGCTTCTCAAGCCATGCTTTGAGAAGGTCAGGTTTTTGTTTTTTGTTTTTTCAGTCAGCCTTTCACAGACCGATACTTTTGGAGTATACAAACTCATGCTCTGGTGCGTGGCAGCAAATATCAAATAAGTTCTGTTTCTAAACGTACACCCTTATTTTCTTTACCTCTCTGGGTGTGGATTGGTGGCAACAGACAGTTCGTGGATCACACTGGTTGACAGACGTGCGCTGAGTGGGCGTGTTCCCTGTCTGTGATGGTTGTAGAGTGAGGGGGCCACCATGTGTGTCCTGGGGTCAGATGATCTGCTTTCCAATCTAGCTAGTTCTGTGATTTTGATCAAGTCTACTTAACCTTACCGAGCCTCAGTTTTCCCAACCCGTAAAATAGGGGTGCAGTGGCACCTCCCTGTAGGGCAGCTGTGAGTTTAAATGAGACACTTTATGGAGGAGTCACACAGAGTCTGGCCCATAGAAAGCACCCAGTAAGTATAAGTAATTCAAGTGGGACGTGAGGTCTAACGCAGATGCCACATCAACTTGTACCCCCAGAGAATTCCAAGACAACTTGGGAAAACTGTGAGTGTGGAAAAAAAAAGAGTCACCATTGGGAAATCCACATTATTGGCACCCTCCAACTGGGTAGGGGAGGCACCCATTTATTGAGAGCCAGACACTATGCCAAGTGTTATGCATACATTGGTTAAATTTCTCCATTTTCTAGTTAATAGCACTAAGACTCAGAGAGGGTGAGTAACTAGCTGAAGGTCACACAGCAGGAAATAGCAGAATCTAGATCTATCCAACCCCTGTCCAGCTTATGCTCTTGGCCATGACTATACCTCCAAGTCCTCTAGCCCAGCTTCCCAAAGGAGCTTCATGTGTTTCAGCCCCCAAGCTCTTCCCTGTGGCCTTCAACTTGGTCAAGATGTTCATGAGTGAGGAAACACAAAGGAAGATAGTGATTCTGGGAGGTGAGTGACCTGGTGTCCTGGCTGTACCTGTCTCCGCATCTACCAGAGAAGCAGAGGTCAATGTGAAAGGCCCCATTTCTCCCTGGCTCATCCTCTTTACTCAGGTACTGACTTTGGCCTGACCCCTGCTGGCCTTTGCACACTCAGGTGATATTTCAGCCCGAGACCCCAGCCTGAGTGGCCATATAAAGCATTTGGGTGTTCTCTGCAGTAGGTGCATAGGGGAGCAAGCCAAGGTCACATCAGGTTTCCTCCCTGGACTTGGCTCCTCTCCCTTCTGTTGAGCATCCCTGATTTCCCCACAGCTCCCCCCCCCCACCTTACTCCCACAGGCAACTGGAAGCAGGAGCTGCCAAAGTTCATCAGCCCTGAGCAGCTGCCCATGGAGTTTGGGGGGACCATGACTGATCCTGATGGCAACCCCAAGTGCCTGACCAAGGTACCGGGTGCCCAGAGGGTGAGAAGGGAGGGCTGATGGCTGGGGTCAGTGCTCACTCAGCAGCCCTCACCCACAGATCAACTATGGGGGTGAGGTGCCCAAGAGCTACTACCTGCGCAACCAGGTGAGGATGCAGTATGAGCACAAGATGACCGTGGCCCGAGGCTCCTTCATGCAGGTGGAGAACGAAATCCTGTTCCCAGGCTGTGTGCTCAGGTAGGGATGGCGGCCACTCCACACCTGGGCCCAGCTGGGAGCGGCCCCGGAGCCCCAGCTGGTGGTCATTAGTAGGGCCCTGTCCCCTGCAGGTGGCAGTTCGCATCACATGGGGCAGGCATCGGCTTCGGGGTTTTCCTGAAGACCAAGACGTGTGAGCGGAAGCGGGCGGGGGAGATGGTGGAGGTGCTCCCCATCCGGCACTACAAAGCCCACCTGGTACCTGAGGACGGGAGCCTCACCTGCCTCAAGCCCGGCATCTGTAAGAGCTGTAGGATTCATTGGAATCTGTTTTCCTCCTTCTGGCAGAGAAATGAGCTGATATCTCTTGCCAGGCTGTCCTGTTTGCCCTCTATTTCTGGCTCTCGGGGAGGGTGTGGGGGTTTGTGTGAGCTCCTAGATCCCGTGGTTGCCCGGGGAATTGGCTTCAGGGTGTTGGATCTGGTGAGTGGCCCCTGGGTGTGGGTACAAAGGCAGAGATGCATTTTGGAAAGTGGGATGCATAGCCCAGAACCATAAACTCAACTCCCGGGAAGCCCTTACACAGCACTCAACAAGCTAAGAGACAGATAAGTAAACAGCCGTGCGCTTAGCTTCCGGGGTCCCAGCCTGCCCAGGAGCATAAGCAGACCCACTGTGGGAGTCCCAAAGAGATGATTCTTCCATGTGCTTATCCTTCATTCTCAGGCCACCCAGGCCAGATGAACATTCCCCAGGAACTGTGCTGACCTCCCGCCTCAATCAGCAACAGAGCTAGGAGAAGGGGAACCCAAGGTTGAGGAGCACAGGTTTTACTAATGCTTTGGTTTAATACATACCTAGTTCACCTTTGTGGAAAGGGAGAATTAGAAGGGTGGAGCCCAAGAAATCTGGATGACTTACCACCTCCCAGAGTTCACTCTGCATCTTGGCGTTGAAGGGAATGCCTTCTTTGAAAGGCGAGACGGAAAAGTGGCTTAAGGAGCTCAGCCCCCTCCTCTGGCGAGAGCAGGGCTCCTCTCTGGGTTGGAGCATCAGGATAAGGGAATCCTAGTCCCTCCCTTCCCTAGCTCGGCACTCATTAGATAGTTCCATCTATCTCTGTAGGCCTCAGCTTCCCCATCCTTAAAATGGGGGTGATAGTACCTTCTGTGGGGCTGCTTTGAGGATTCAGACAGCTGTGAGTGCAGATGTGATGCCTGGTGCATAGAAGGGGTTGGTGCGTGCCGGCTGGTTATTATTATTCCGTTAGTTATCACAAGGAGATGGTCCTGAGCAGTGGGCTGGGGGCTGGGGGCTGGGTCGTGGCTCACCCTCCAACACCCACAGCCCTGGGCCCATTCTCAAGGGCACCACCAGGCGTGCAGATGAGTTGGGTTTACTTCGCCTGACGACTTCTCCATCCTTGCAGACGTACTGCACTTCGACAACACCTACAGCCTGATACACACCAAGAAGGTCAGCTACACTGTGGAGGTGCTGCTCCCAGACAAGACCTCTGAAGAGAAGATTCAGGGTCTTGAGGCAAGGAGACCGTCCCCAGCGCAATGAAGACCCCTGATACCTCTCAGTCCCTGTGCTCTTCAACCCCTTAGTACCCCCTCCCTGTCCCTTTCCCTCCTGAGCAGCGTGGTGTTCGGAGGAGCCACCCCCCTCCCCGCATCACCATCTCGGCTCTTCGTGGGCTCACCTGGCACGGTGGCAGAGCAGGAAGGGGACATCCAGCTCATAGGCCACCTTGAGGATTCAGACAGGCACCTGATCTCCTGTTTGCAGAGACTGAGAATGGGGACGCTGAGGATGAACCAGGAGCCACTGAGGGAGGGTCCTGCCCACAGAAGCTGCCCTTATGTCACTCCTGATGAGGTCCACCGTCTCAGGACTCACCCACACCTAGTGACCCGGCTTGGGGGCGTGTGCATGAGTCCCAGGCCAGGCAGGGAGCACAGCGTCAAGTCTGAAGAGCAGGGAAGCCCCCATCTCTGCATGTGGGGGCTCAACATGGATAGACAAGGCCAGCTGGAGGCAGCTGGGTGGAGGGATGGGACCAGCCGGGTGGTGGAGCTGAGGGTCTTGGTTCTGGCAGGGCACCAAAGCCTCTTCAGAGTCTCCTTACTGCCTTTGGAGGGAAGATCAGAAATGGAGCATGAGGCCCAGCGGGGATAATCATCAGGAAAAGCCACGCTCAGCCACACAGAGCTAAATGGGTGAAGACTGAGTCTCTCGGAATTCTCAGTGACCCCCGCCTCCTCCTCACCTGCTGTGATCCAGCTGACATTCAGCTTGGGTTCTTTCTGGCTCTGAGTAAGGACCAGGATTGTAGCAGAGCTGGAGTGAGGTGGAACATGCTGGAATAAGGTAGAACGCACCTGGGTGGGGCTGCCATCCCAGGGTACTCATCCCAGACTTGATTTACTTCTTGGAGAAACATCAAGCTTTTCCTCCGTCTTTGTGTGTCACTAGAGGGACAGCTAATGTCTGCCAGCTCCCTACCAACCCACCCCAAATGCGACTCCGTAGCTGGCCAGTGATGGCTTCCATTTCCCAAAGGCTGGCTCTCCTGGTGCCCTACGCCCACAGTCAGGACCGCAGTCCGCTCTTCTGGACAAACCGCACCCAGCAGAGCAGACCTTGCCCGGAATGAGCCAGTGAAGCTGCTGAGTGGTCAGATGTCCCTGTCAAAGGGGATCCTTGCTGCAAAGGATTAACATCCTGGGCATCGAGACCCTTGCCAGAGACCGGAAGCCTCAGCAAACAGCAACATCCAGGTGCTTTGTGAATAAGAACCCGGTTCTAGCCCCCTTCTTGCTCTCAGATTCTGTGATTTCATTTTCACTATTTAATAGAGTTCCTGATTTCCCAGGGCCTGTTCTTCCCAGGTAAGAAAATGATGAGGCTTGTGAAGGTGGGTCTTCAGGTGAGCTCTGTGAGGTCCTTGGGGCCCCAGGCCCGCCCTCTGTGGCAGCCGCATCACCCATGGTTCAGCACATAGTCTGAACAGGGGGCTCTGCTGCTGTGAAAAGCAAACTAACTAAAGGAAATAAAATACGAAAAGCTGGTGCACTGAGGCATTCCTGGCCCAACAGTGTTTGAGGAGTTTGGCAAGAAAAAAATTTTTGTGCCAGCTCCAAGGAGATAGCCTGGGGCTGTCAGGTGAAAATCACAAGACATCCTTGGGTCCAAGTGCCGCTCCTGCATCCCCGATGCAAGAAGCTTTCCCAGCACCCCCACTGCACTGTGTGGCCACCCTCTGTACAGCCTCCCCAGATGCAGAGACACTTGGGTGTTCCAGAGCCATCTTCCCACTGGGCCAGCGGGGGTTGTAAGGTATCCCCTGACAGGTTTCCCTGGGCCCACCTGTTGTCCTGACTGGGGGCTCATGATGCCTCCCTTCAACCTCACAACCCCGGCCTAAAAACAAGGTGTTCATGGATTTGAACCCTGATCCTTGCTTTTCCAACCACCCACGCTCATTTTCCACCATCAGCACAGCCTCTGGTTTCCTTGTAGGTAGCAGATTGGCTCACACCATGCCCAAGGGTTTAATTTGCACGGGACTGCCTGGGGAGTAGCAAGTCACAGAGGGGTCGGGTTCAGGGAACCAGTGACGAATCTCAGAGCTGGCAGAGTGCACCTCATATTAAGCAGTGAGTACAGTGGTCACCTTCGGAAGTGAGGACAGGACCTCCTATCTGGCAAGGTGGACAGGGGGCATGTCCTCCACAACTCCATCCCTTACTCAATACCATCACTTCTTTACAGAAAAAAAAAAAAAAAAAAAAAAAAAAAAAAAAAAAAAAGAAGTAGCCCAGAGAGGGGCTGGCTCACCTAAAATTTGCTTCTTCCTTCCATTCATTCGTCAATGTTTATTGAGTCTGTCCCCAGTGCCCAGGCACTGCAGGCCCTGGGGACACCGGGGATGCTGGGCTTACCCGACTTTGCGAGCAGGAAGCTTGCCTGTATTGAGGGAGGCCAAAATGACTCTGATGGGCATTCTCAGGTGGGCAGCTTGGTGGGACAGGAGCCAAATTCTGAGGGAGCATCCAGCAAAAAAAGTCTGATGGGGGATCAGACATGCTTTGCCCGAGGCAGGAACCCCTGAAGGGAGAGCTGAGGGTGTGGGCGAGCCTTCCAGACTGAGGAATGGGGTGAAGGCAACCGTGGGGTGTTTGAAGCCAGAGGAAAGCCAGGAGGGCCCTTGGGTGATGCAGGTAATAGGTCACTGATGTTTGCTATTTCTTGTGAACAACTGAGTACACATTAGGTAGTCGTTAATAAAACCATTTCATAATGGAGGTTACAAAACAGAGACTTATTGTTCTTCAGGAAAGAATGACAAAATCTTGGCAGGAAGCCATGGATCAAAACTCTTGCTCAAAATGAGGTGGTTGGAAATAGGCCTTACCTTTCCAGAGGAATGGGGGCGGGGCCTGTCCTTCCCCAGGGCGTATCTCCTAACTGGAGAGCCCCACAGTCTTCCAGGGCAGGCAGGCGGATAAGCAGGGGGGTACCGCTAGGGTTTTTTGAGGGCAGTTGGAAAGGCTCCCTTGTCCCCAAAACTCTACCTCAGTTCAGCTCACGTTCCAAGTCCCCAGGCCAGAAGGGACACCAGTGTGGGACAATCACAGCGGCCCAGAACAAGTCTTCAGCAGGGCTCCAGGCCATGGTCCTCCACAGTTTGTACAGCTCCTTTACATGCATCCCTGAAGCAGACAGGGATTATAGTCAGGAAACGAAGGCTCAGTGAGGGGGAGTGCCTTGGCCAAAGGCTGAGAATCCTGTGGCAGAGTTAGAGCCAGCACCTGGGTTAGCTGCCAGGGGTGACCCGGCCCTGTGTTGCAAGGGAGGAGAGGGCCAATGCAGGCAGGTGTGTTTCTGCCAGGGAGGTCCAGCCTGGGCCAGAGGGCACACAGTGGGGCACAGTGGCACTGACCAGAGCCTGAGGAAGCTGCCTCTTTGTGGGTTGGGACAGTGCCAGCTCCGCTCCATGCCTACCGTGTGCCAGGCCCAAGCTGATGCGGGAAGCATCATCCCCTGTTTACTAATGAGGAGGGGGAGGCCTAGGGCAGGAAGTGATTTGTCATGTCTCACAACATAAAGAGGGGAAGGTAAGACGTGAAGTGGGGTTCAGGGGCGCCTGGCTGGCTCAGTTGGTTAAGCATCTGATTCTTGGTTTCAGCTCAGGTCATGACCTCACAGTTCATGAGTTCAAGCCCTGCATTGGGCTCTGCACTGGCAGTGTGGAGCCTGCTTGGGATTCTTTCTCTCTGTGCCTCCCTCACTCGCACTATCTCTCTCAAAATAAATAAACTCAAAGAAAAAAAGACGTGAAATGGTGTTCACCAATCCAGATAGGCCAGGTGCTGAGCACACTGGGTGAGCAGGCTTCACACTTGGTGACCTCAGAGAGCAGGCTTGAGCCGATGGCATTCAGCTAACATTGGCGATCTCTGCTCTTAGCCACCGGGGGGTAGTGTTGAGCCAACTGTGTCTCTTTCCCTGTGGCAGAAGCAGGAACCAGGCCCCTCAGCATCCCGCTCACGAAGGCTGGTTTTATAGGCGGGGTGAGGCAAAATTCACTGGGCCTGAGCTATTTGTGGGCCCATCTGGAGCAGCAGAAAGAGGTGGTCCCACCTTGGTTCGGATCCTGGTTCTGCCACTTGCCTGGCTTTCTTTCTAAACCCTTGCGGGCTCCATCTTCTATCCCGTGCCTGCCACCCTAGTAAGGGCCTCCATCATCTCTTGCTTGCATTATTAGAAAGGAGTCCATGAGTCTCCCTGTGCCCATTCCTGCCACCTCCCATGAGAGTCCACAGGACAGCCAGACAAAATCTTTCTGAAATGAAAATCTGATCATCACTTCCTGTATAGGCCCTTCACTGGCTCCTCATTTCTCCCCCAGGGAAAGTTCAGTTTCATTGGTGGCTTATAAGGCTCTCTGTGACCTGGCTATGACACCCTCATTGCAGTTTCACCCAATGACTTGAATTCTATCAACGACTTGAATTCAATCTATCAGACTGGTTTCTGCGTCCCTGCTTTTGCTCATGCTGTTCCCTCAGTCTAGGACTCCCTTCCCAGTCTTGTTCTGTTCACCCTCAAGGTCCTTAGGGCCTTCTTTGCCTATCCAACCCCCCTAGTCTCTAGCAGAGTTAGAGTCTCTTCTGCATGCTCTTGGAGCAACAGGGCCAGTGTTTATCATGCAGTAGAGTCATTATCTGCCTTGTGTCTGTCTCCTATTCCCCACCAGCCACCAGTCCAGGCTACACTCCCCAGATGCTCAATAAAGCCTTGCAAAAACAATAGATAACCATTTACTGAGCACCTATGTAGGCCTGCTGCCCTTGTGCTATCTTGTTTAATCTTCATGGCAGCCTTGTCAAATAAATATAGTCATCTTGGTTATATAGGGGAGGAAAGTAAGTCTCAGAGACAGTTATTTGCTCAGTGATGGCATCAGGACTGGAATTCAGGGGGTGCCTGGGTGGCTCAGTCGGTTAAGCATCGACTTCAGCTCAGGTCATGATCTCACAGTTGTGGGTTCGAGTCTC